CGAAATTAACAAAGACTTGACTGATATTATCACTATAGCTTTCCGATATTACGTAGACTATGTGAGAAAGTGAATCGTCTTTTTTTAAAACTTCTTCTGAGTAATGCATTTATGTCCAAAGGACGTTGCGAAGCGGAGTCCACTCGTCCTGAAACAAGCTTATTATAAACTAGGAGCCGGATGATTAACATTACTTTAGAAAATGATGCGCCGTTTCTTCTCTTGTTCTAGAAAATATCTTGAGTGTTGCAGATCAAATGTAAAAAAGAATGAGGGTTTTCTCGTCTCAAGTAGTTCGTAACAATTGTGAACTTGATTTTTAAGTTGCCACTAAAATCATACGAAAATAGTCGATCCAAAATACATTGAATGATGAATTTCCGATTGAAAAGAGACTATTCTTACTGCTACGTACACGCCAAGTTTTGAAGTAAAAAAAAAGTTGAATGATTCTTAAATAGATGTGAACTTGCAAGATGTTCTATTTACTTACTGGATAATTCATTTATTTGAGCATCCTGCTGCTTCATTTGTTCTTTAAGCTGTTTATTGTCAGCAATAAGTTCGCTAAGAATCGATCGAAAAGGTTGGAACACACATGTTTCCAGGTGGCTATCGAGTTGATCTCGTGGCCCCTTCCATGGACACTTGATATCTGCTGATGGGCATGAAACATGCGCCTTAGCACACGCTTTGCTCATATGTTCATCGAAATTACCTCTCTCCAACCCCGTTTTTCCACAGAACTTACACTTCACTGGGAGACGATCAAGCATATTTCGCACTATGCGACTAGGTTGCGCAAGACTATCTATAGATGCTAGCTGTTTGCGACACGTAGGACATCCTGCATTTCCAGTATTCATCCATCCTGCAATGCATTTACGACAAAATGTATGATCACATGGAGAAGATAATGGATCATTGAAGGGGCCACTACAAATAATACATATGAGCTCAGGGTCTATGGATGCTTCATTAATATATGCATAATTCATGTTATTTGCCATCCCAATTTATAAAATGTGTAATCTAAAAAGAGAACTACCTGAAACAAGCAATTTTTTGAGATGCCTCCGGCACTGTCAAATCAGAGTATGAAAAAAAATCTTTTCAATGAGAGACCATTTTTGTGGGTATAATTTCTTTGCGTAATTATTTGCAGGGCTGAAGCCTATAAATTTTTGTTTAGTTTCGGGAAATTTGCAAAAAACAAATGATAAAGATCGAATTCATTTGGAATGTACTACTGCATGTCTTTTAGTAATGTGACGCACAGAGTCCATCAAATTCAGACGGTGACTGGCACCAACATATAGTATTAATGATCAAGCTCACATTCTAAATTCCAAAGCCAATGAGTTTTATTCTTCAATGTTTATAATTTTACCTGACAGAGCCAACTGTTCTTACCAAAAAATTATAATTGATCACGTCATTTTTCCGAACAAGCACATTCATTATGTTGGTAAAAATACAAGAGTGGGATTTAACCATATTTGCAAATGTTAAAAACAGAAGGATTGAGCAAGTTGTTTTTGCGTCGTTGTATTACTCATTGAAGAAGCAACGCCATGTAAACATCAGTACTCATAGAAATCCTCCATCAAGATGACTTCTACATAATTTTATACAAGCAACTAAAATTGAAAATTAAAATATGAAAAACATTTTTAGATAAATAGCAAATACATATATGTATAATGATCTTACGCCAAAAAACTTAATTGCATACTATATATAATATATTTTGTGTCGTTAACAGAAGAGTTTTAATCAAGTGTGAATTGAAATAGCACAGCGTTGACTATTCTAAATGAATTGGTACAAAATGTCTATTTTTATTTTATTTATTAACTTTAGTTTCAAGAATAATTTATTCACAGCTATCTAGATATGGAATCATTCAATCGAACTTTAGTTTTACTTATAGATCTCTTTTCAGTCAAATAAAAACATAGGACATTAATAATAGTAATGACGATGAGCATTATGAAATTGTGTATTGATCCATCAGTTTTAATATAAACCAATGAAAATCTATAAAGAATATTACACATATTTTCATCCTACATAATTTCTATCAAGTCAATAGATACTTTTCTCATGAAAAATGTTTCAATCGTATTATTTACATGCATGTCTTGAATATGATAAATATATTTAAGCATTCATAATTGCTTTCTTTTAAAGAAAACATTTGGTTATAGGTTTAAGTTTCATATTATTTTCCCATATGAGAATGTGTACGTTAATAATATTATTTATGGAAACAATAGGCTTTATGAATTTGAATCGAAAGATGTTGGTAATCGATGAAAATTTATGTTGACATTATTCTGCATATTGACAATTTTTTTCAGCTAATAATGACATCAACGATGACAGATTTTTAACAATTCGATTCATGAAATCCTTCAAACATGAAGAGAATATCGTTAAAATGATTGAATAAACCAATTTCACTGAACATTATGACTTTATTCCAAAATTTCTTGATACCTTGCATACAGCTTTGTACAAGGATGTGTGAATAGATATTGATTCACAATCACTTTCTTATCTGAAAGAATGCGCTAGGTGACGTCTAGTTGTCTAAATTTGTGAAAAGAGATTAAAAAGAAATCAAATTTCGTTGTATTGAAAAATATTATTCAATATTCGTTGTTGTTGGCATCATGTGTGAAGAACCAAACGAAAGACAACTAACATAGAATATATTCCGAATAGAATTATGAGATACACACATATTTGTGTAATAATTCAAGATAATAATAATTCAAACATAGGCGTTTTTATTCAAGTCAAATAATTAAATGAAATGTAGCGAGAAATGATAGCCAATTGTTGTTTAGATTTGGTATGATAATTAAAAAATTGATATTATCAAAACAGACTTCTGGCATCATTTATTCAAATCTTTATTCTATTTTTCTTTATTTTCTATGAAAAACCAACAGTTAAAATGAGTAAAATAAATCAGGCTGTCGTTCAAAATTGAATGTCAACTATATGTTTTCCCTTTCATTGAAAGAAAAATGGAAATGCTAAAATACTGAACAGTCAAGGGACGACCTATGTTTCCATAAGAAACATTTCTTAACAACGCAATTGACAACAACAAACGATGAGACAATGCTGAAATTGTGAGTCATCTAATTCAATCAATTCTCAAATATTTTACAATATTGACTTATTTAATAATCTCACAATAATTTGTACAATGTAGAGCTTTTTTGATAGAAAAAATGTTGCAAATCATAATATATTTATTAGAATAGGATTTATTTTTAATAATTTTACGAAGTTCAGACGAATAAATCAATGTTTTAAGAATACAAAATGATATTCAAATAAAACAAATCCGGCGAGTTAATATCAGATTTTGATTAAAAAGTTAATATACAATAAACATAACCAAGTAGTGAAGATTGAATAACAACAGACGTTTCGTCGATTCTTTTCACTGAAGTATGCTGTACATTTTTATACGGTGAAGATACCGCGTCCATCATGCTGTTCAAAAAGAATATGATGAATAAACTCAAATATTTCAAAATTATGTTATTGCGCTATTTGAAGTTTCTGCAAAAAAAAATTTGTATGTCATTGCACTCGCATTTTAACATAGAAAGCACAGCATTCATATCAATTTCAGGTCTTATATGTTCTGTTTGTTTCTCATTGTTTAACTTAAGTACAGATGCATGCTGTCTGTTACACTATCATTTGTTTTTTTATTTGCATTCTTTTAACATCTGGATGTTCGTGTCGCCCATAAAATGGTCAACCGTGAATTCATACTTGGAATTATTTTCTATCGAGTTTTTCTTTCATGTTTTCAAATACTTGTCATTAATTGACTTTTTATAGTTTTATTGATTTTAATCGTTGTTCACATACTTTTCTTGGCTCTTTTGTATTAAGAATTGATTTTCAAGCAGTTTCTCAGCTTGAATGAATTTTATTTTTTGTGATGTATTATATAAAGAAATTCATATCAATTACTTTTCTAGAATTATAGAGTGTTCCAAAAGTCATCCGGGAATATAAAATTTCAATGATTCTTCAGCAGTTTAATCGATTTAAGGTTTGAGGCTGTTAAACAAAACTATAAATAATCAGAGAAGGCATTTACAACAAGTGCGTCAGCATCAATACTGGTTCTTACATTAAAACTGGAATCTGATAACAACTACGTAGTTGTATTTTGATTTGAAAAGGCTTTAAACATCGGCTTTAATATGACTGCTCTATCTTTGCCAAATGCATTCTCACTCAATAGCCCAATTCTTAATGTAGTTATCGTTCCTTCGAGTGGGATGATACATCGAAGTGCACGACTTCTAGCTCAAATGCTCACAGCAAAAATTTAACATTCACCCTCTGAAACAGAAGTACTATGAAACAGAAAACTAAGAATTTCTGTTCTTAGATGATAGACTCATTTATCGCAACTACTCTTTCCAATAGTTGAACTTGACAGAGAACACAATAGTAAATCAACTGAATAACAATTCACTCATTGGCATTTTAAAAACATAAATTGCTATTACACACATTAAGAACAAGAAACTACAGCTTTTCTTCAACAGCTAAGAAAAACCTTATAAAAACTTAAATGAACAAAGTAAAACTTCAATCTGTCAACGTAGCTGCAACTATCGATAGAACATTGATTACTGATATAAAGAAAATCGAACTTTGGTATACATGAGGAATTGTAAATTTAATAAAATACTTTGAGGCGATCCAAATCATCATATGAACTGAGAATATTCCATAACAAAAGAAGTGTAATATTCAAAAATATAAAAAAAGAAACTATTTTTGTATTTGAAATCGAATTCTCAAGTGTATGAAAATCTAACAAAGAAATCGAAGGAAACGAATCACTGTCATTATAATCCAATAGTTCTCTTTATCAAACTAGTGTTTGAAAGCAAGATTGCATGTAATGATAAATACAAGATTATTGATTGTTCATTTCATTGAGATAATTAATACAATTCTGAAGTACTCAGAGGAAAATAGATAAATCCACCAGTAGCTAGCACGTCTCCATTTGTTAATACCGATGTTGTATGCACATTCCGGGCACTATTCATACCACCAGTTGTTGTCCAAAGTCCTGTTGATGGATCATACAACTCAGCACTATTTAGAAAAGAGCTTCCATCCCATCCACCAACAACTCACACATATGCATTTGTTAATATCGATGCTGTGTGCAAAAATCGTCCATGGTTCATACTACCAGTCGTTGTCCAAAATCCTGTGGATGGATCATACAGCTCAGCACTATTTAGATAGGAGCTACCATCATATCCACCAGTAACTAATACTTTTCCATCTGATAATACGGATGCTGTGTGCACTGCTCGACTATAATTCATATTACCAGTCATTGTCCAAGTTCCTATTGATGGATCATACAGTTCGGTACTATTTAGGTATAAACTATAATTAGATCCACCAGTAACTAATACTTGTCCGTTTCTTAATACAGATGCTGTGTGGTCATTTCGTGCATTATTCATACTACCAGTGCCAAACCATCCTAAAAGAACTATGTGAATATATTCAGGCTGAAAGACGGAGTATCATCGAACACATACACATTGTCCTTTATATATTAATTATGAAATTATGGCAGTATTTTTGGCTAGGGTGTGGGTG